CCTCTGTAGATCCTGATTGGGTTAGACGCACAAAGCCAAACATTGAACCAGCATATATGCTCGAGTTAGATGAGAATTCACCAGTAGTTCGGTCAAAGGGGTACGACTGGATCACGGGTCCCTTTTCAAACCCGAGGCAATGGATGACACTATTCTCGGTGACGGCAACTTGCAAAGGTTGACAGTCATTGTCCGAGTTATCTTTAGCGAAAGTCACGTTGCCCACTAAAGATGGAGGTAGAGAACGCTGCCCCTTTAATTTCCATTCATATATGTCTACACCGAATTGATGGAGAACAGCCATGAACGTATTTGCTGGAGAGAAGGTCACATCGATAATCGGCGATGATGCCTGCAGCTCAAATAATGCCATTGGGGGAGGAACGTTAGCTGTCCGAAAGGGAGTGAGCTTGAGCGTCTTCCCGTCTATGACAGCAACGGCTCCATAGTCATATGGCGGCGTCAGCGACCCTCGAGTAACCTCGGAAATATACTCAGTGAGTAATAGTCTATCTGCGATACTCTTAGTGTTGAAGTTACGCCCATAAAGATTCGAACTCACCTGAGATGGCCGACGCGAAACGTAGTGATTTTTCAGGATGCCATGTAAGGGAGAGTGGACGCTTCTGTGTGATTATTTCTTGCTTCAGATACCAGTGGTAATTGCCCATAGTCCAAAGTTGAATCCGATCATCAAGTGTAGCGGCGAGGACCGTAGAATCCGAGTTCCACTCAAGCCGTATCCGGTCATTTGAGAGTAACCTGCCTTCAGGGGCTCTTAGGGAAAATCGTCCATGTCTAAGGCCATTTCTCTCAAAGAATATAACATCCACACGGTCCTCGAAGCGTTGCATGGATGCAATCAAATTCCCGGCTGGCCTCCAGCTTAAAGCACACTCCATACCATCAACGGGTTCACTTACGCTGTCAAGAACACCATCTCGGGAGTATACCCGAATGACTCGGCGGATGCCAGTCTCAATCGAGTTGATTGCGACATATGCACCGTCGCCTCTCCAACTAATGGTTGTACTTCCATCATCGTTAGGACTGAGTATGCCTTGGTCTACTTTTTCTGGTATTGTAGGGTCTCGCAGGGCTTTGGCGCCTCTGCCTTGGAACTGTGTTTCCTTCTTGCCCCAGCCAACAGAGACGTGCTTAGATGCTTTGAGATCATCGACGTTCATAGTCATATCTGCTATGCAATCGAAACTACGACTCATGAAGATCACTGTGTTTGACTTGGTAGTTATGGCTAGTAGTTCTTCATCCGGAGACCAGCTTGCAGCTGTGATGCCCTCATCTACAGATCCCTCGATCTCGATGTGAACTCCATCATGGGGGTTTGGACCCTCTGATTCTTGGACGACAACTATGTCGCCTCCTTCAAGGACTAAGCAAGTTGTCAAGGTGTCACTGAAATGATGCGAGCTTATGACTCTATCAACAGCCAAATCCGGATTTGGACTTGGGGCATCCCACGATGCGACATCTTGACATTCACTACAGTCGTGAATGGTGAGCAAATCATAGACTGTCGGATATCCCCGAATGGGTGGTGCAAACTCACATGTCTATAGACGAGGCCCTCACGTGTTCCAGTATCCTGACTAGGCGAATGCGCCCATCGTTCTTGCTCGGTCCGAAAGTGCACAGGACCTCGTCTTTGGCTGGGTCCCAACATGTTGATGTGATAACCTCTTCGGTCAAATCGGTCAAATCGGTCGATGACTTCCAAGCGTTATATCGTACGTTGCGAAGGTTACGCATCTTGACAACGTCCTACTTTGTCGTAGGGGATCATGAACCGTAAGTCACTAGGGCATAACTCCGCTGCGACGAAAGTCTGATGTAGACTTTGTAATGACGACTATAAGTCCGTGCGATAAAATTTTTGGGAGTAGTATTGATACTGTACCCAAGTTTACGAGGGGTTTTTTTTTCTGTCGAATTTTTTTTGTTTGTATATATAGTAGGAGCCGATTGCCCGATTAGGATAAGTTCCTTCGCCCAAATAGGAAAAAGTAACCCAATGGGCAGTATCTAGCCCGTGCAAGATTATTTGCGTGATTTGATTGGGTGCATGACCAGTATATGTAGATCTAGGCTTGGCATTTAGTCGAAAACCAGTTCAAGAAGCAAGAATGGCTCTGATTGGGTGCATCAGTAAAGAATATGTAGGGTCGCAATAAAATAAAGCCACTGACCTAGCCACACGACCTGGCCGCTGGTGGCCTGCGGCCATCTACACGCTTTTGCCTGCAGAGAGGTAATGCGTCAAAAAGGGTGCGAGGTGCGAGGTCAAGGAATCGAACCTGAGGCCAGGCTGGGGTGTGGCCGGGGTAGCCTCGGGTGATTACAGGTTGGTAACGTACATAGGAAACTCGGGCTATCGTGTAGTCCCGCAGGGGTAACCTCTGTAGTAATAATGGTGAAAGATGTTGATTGAGTAAAGATTCTAGTACCTATCCCATTTTCAACTGGTAGAATCCTAAGGTATAGGTATGCGTTTATGTATCGTACCTTCCCACACCTCCAATATAACGAATTACGTGGTGACTACCTCCTATGTAAGCACCAAATCTAAATCGCTCGGACTGTAAGATCTTTGAATCTGATTAAAGTTTGGTCCGTGCTCAATAATTCCACTTCGAACCCTAGCAGCCTACATATGTATGTAGAAGCCTCGGTGGAGCGTCGGCAGACCTCGGAAAGTACGATTGTCGCCTGATAGTGTCACCAAGCTTCACTTACCAAGGCTGCAAGAACACCCTTCTCGTGACGAATTTGGTCTAATGCTGTTGCTGCTTTTATTTGCCGCGACTTACTTGCATTACCTAATCACGTGGTTTATGCATAAGACTGTGTTACCCCAGATCTTAACCTAGATCCTCCTATGCGGGTTGGGGGTTTTGGAACAGTTTAATATCAGCCTATTAACATACTTTATACCTTTTAACATTACATATACAATTTAAAAAAGGAAAGGCCATTTTAAGCACCTATCATTTCAAGGTGCTTGAGATCGTTGTTTTTTTTTTTTTGGGGGGGGGGGGGGGGGGGGGCAAAAAATTTGTCACAAAGGGGTTCGAATACAATGTTTACAAATATTTGAGCCATTGCAAGTCTAAGGGCTATTAAAATAGGCTACGAGGCATCAAGATTACAAGTTTAGGTACACGTGTGGGGGAGTGTGTCAAGAGGTAGAACCAAACAGCATGGAAACAACTTCGCTGTTCCGCAAGGAACTCCAACCTACATGTAACTACGGGAGCCTACGGCTATACATACTAAACATGTCCTAGTTGCCTCATCTAGAATCCTGATAGAAAGGTAGAGGTGAGCTATTGCCTTATATAAGGTATGCTGAGGCACCTACTCCTTCCAGGTCAGTGTCAGGGTATAAGTGGGTTAGGTGTAGTTACAGGGGTATATCTACTATATAAGGGGCGCGTAGCGCCCTTGTAAGAGGATAGAACGGCAGGCGTTAATAGTCCACTCTATTATGTATTACATCAATCAAGGGTAGGTTCTCTCTGACGTGCAGTCAGCCAAAGTGCTTTAGGCTTTCAGGGGCTATTATACTGGCAAGAGCGCCTGCTATTAACGGCAACAGTATCCTATCTCTGCAAGTGTTTTCATCTCAACATTGTCTCTTGCCGTATCTTATTTTATAGCTACGGGTCTTGCTTGCCGCAATAGTATAATGCTACCGATTGCTTGATCTTTGAAAACGAGGCTTCCAAATTCAACGCGATTTCTACATTTAATGCATATACTCGCCGATATTGCGGGTATTTCGATCATAGTATTATTCTTGTGCGGATAGTATATCCCAGAATATGTGGCCAATTAAAGTTTGTATTCCTATAAAAAGGATCGGAAGCAACGTTAACATTAATTTATATAATTCTGGTGCAGCTCTGTTAACAGGCTTTCTCTGAATTGACAGTATAGTAGGCACATTCCAATATCCTAGAGCCATACTGTCCTGGGACCCCCCGCATAGGTATGTCTGATTCGAAGGCTTTGTATTTCCACTAGGCTGAAATGTTATTCAACTAATCCTTTTTTATTATTTTTCTTTTTCTTTTTATAGACAAGTGCTCTAGGCCCTTTCCCCCCTTTCTCAAATTGTACATTGGCTCCCAATACACCTTGTAGATGTCTGAATGTCGAAGAGCGATTCGTTGCTGATACTGAAGACAGCATTCGGGATCAAGGATTACTAGGCCAGATGAACCTAGTGCGGTCAACTAGGAATCTATCTAGAGTCATCCGTCTGGTACCGGAAGAACGAGCCGGTTGAGATAACATCGTGCATTAACTACATGTAGAATCATATCTGCGATCTGAAGATTAGTATCCTGGTTAGACCAAAAAAGAATGCTAGAAACTTACCGTGCTAGGAACTTACCGTGCTAGGCAACTAACTTAGCTATTTCGGAAGAATCCATCAGCGAAGGTGAAAAGGTTCAAGGATTTCTAGAAGCCAGCAAGAGCCTTTCGAAGCATTAACGCTGGGCCGGTAAGTGTCGAATCCCGGACATAGACGTATCTAGCAAGCCAAATACGATGGCCGCAAGGGTTGTAGGCGGAATGTATCCAATTATTCTATACACCCACCGATGTAGAAACTTCAAATTATCTACGTCTGGGGGCATGAAATACTTGGCGAGCAAGCATTTAAGTACTTCCCGTCACACTACCCAACACACTACCCGACACAGGACCGAAACACCTGCGTGGATTTGTTCGTCACCAAAGTATGTTTCAGGATTCATCGTTTGTGATATCGTTGTCGACACAGCTGGGATTGTTGTGAGGAGAGGTCAGGCTATCGCCGTAGGAGTAATAGCAGTGGTATTGTATTTTTTTTCTGTAAGGAAAAGACGTTTGTGCAATAATAATCAGGGCATAGTTATATATTTATATGTATATTTCTACAAGTAGATTGTTAGTGTAGTCGGTATCGTATGAGACTCAAAGCCCCTATTACACTTATTCTTTTCTCTGTGCGCGAAATACATTTGTTAAAATTTGCTTATTACCTTATGTACGCTGGGTATTAATATAGCACCTCATAGCTCGGCATGAAGGCTAAATTTTCATCAAAAGGATATACTATATATCCTCCGGACCTTCAAGTATTCATCTCAAGGTACTTAATGTATCATTTCCTCCAACGCTTCTTTACTTTTCTCCATCCTTCGTTATTCCATCCTAACCTCTACCGACAAGCAATTGCATGTTCAATATTTTATTGTTCTACGGGCCTACCCTGCGTTGTCTACCAAATCGACAAATACCCAATCATGGTGGATGAACCTACAAGATGCTTATCAGGGTTCTGCGTGTATAGCGTATGGAGTGCCGTCATCATTTTGGTCGACGCACAGATTGTCCAGCGGCGAGATACAATCGTACAACGGGGCCGTGAGCTCCAAAACAGCCTTCACATACCAAATTGTTTGCGCGTTTTTGCCGAAGCGGATCCAGGAATGTTAAAGGAGGATTTACGAGCTGCAGCCCACTTCCTGGTCCTTGCGTGCGCTATGGTTGTCTTCGGCGTGCTTGTCGCTTTTCTCAAATGGACGGTTCGGGATTCTTCCGTATTAGGCGCTGCGGTTATTGGCCCGCTATGTATCGTTCTTCTCGTATGGCTGGGACTTATATTGGGAAGGCGAAAGATATCGAAAGGCAACTTTCAGGACGACAGAGAGGATCCCGAGAAAGGCACACCGAACAACGGATGGAACCCTGGTCTGAAGAGGGCGCTTAGAGGTTTCCGGGCCACCGCTGTGATGGTGCTCTGATTCATTACCCCTATAGTTCAGCAGCTCCTGAGCCCCCTCATCTTGTCTTGCATGCGAATGACGGGACGAGCAATATAAGAAAAGAGGTCTTCTCCGACACACATCCACACATCCACACATTAGCTACTCGGGCGTTTCCTCTTCTGCGATAGCTCTTGCGCATATAAAGCGTACTATGCGACTATATTCGACTTTACTCTTAGGAAACCTCGCAACCTTGAGTTGATGATATTAGGTAGGTAGTGAATATAACTAGATGTCTGCCAAAGCAACTAAGTTGTGATCCTGGATAAGTGAATTATGCATATTTTATTAATTTATGTTATGTCATGGATGGTGTGGCAGAAATGCTAGGTACGTACATACATACGTAGGATAAATGACAATGACGGCTCCAACGGCCCTTAGCTTAAAGCGGCGTGCCTCAGATCATCTAACAATTTCATCTAGTTAGTTAATACAGGGCATTCAAGTTTGTATTGACCAACCCTTATTTGGACTTTCCATTGTATCCAAATATTGCCTTGCCAGGTACTTACGGCTTTAAGATTGTCGAACTTGTAGTATTTAAACTCTTATAGAAATCATGGATGTCGCGTACAAACAGCATGCCAACCAAGCGCGTCGTAAAAACAGATCATCTACGAACCTTCAACACTTGTCTCTCGCGCCGCTCACGTCTAAATTACCCCTGACCGACCCTGAACACCTGCCTGACTTCGACGTGCCGTCATTCCAACACAATGTTTCCTACCTACAGGGCAAATCCGCCCCTACGACCCCACGGCTACTCCAATCTCCCCCCCGGACTCGAGCCAACTCCCCTAGCCGACGTCGATCCTCGGTGCACGATCCTCTAAGCGCGAAATTTCCGAAGAGCAAGTCCACAACTCATCTAGTTGCGTCAAACGCAAAACGCTCTGGCCTGGGAACGTTATCACCACTTCCCCGGCATCATGCGCCGCCTAACAACAAAGAACGGGGAGACGACGACTGGATTCTGCGTACGGGGGCATTGATCAGCTCAAAGATGCGCGAGTCTAAGGGGCAAGCCTGGCTCGTCGAGAGGGCGAGTTCGACTAGTCTAACTGGCATGCGTGACGTTGAGGAAGAGGCATATGAACGAGAATTAGCTAGGGAGAGAGAACTCGCGAGCAGACGGAGCAGTCGACGGGGCAGTATAGCAAGTGGAGATGATGATATCCTTTCACCGAACAGCCGCTATGGTAGCCGCTCTCAGAGCCGGGCTGGGAGTAGAGCTCATTTAAGGACACCCGTGGAGCGGCACGCACACGATGGTTATTTTAGCTACGACGTGTCACCGGAAGATCACATTCAAGGCCCGGATTTCGTGAGCCTGGACGAAAAGCTCGAGGCCTTCGAGACGGATACGAGCAAATTAGACGAGGCAACTGTTCGGAGACTGGTCTATAGGAAAAACGAAGGGGTAGGCTCATGGGTCTGGTCCCTATTCTCCGTTGAGGAGAACGACGAGGAATCAGACACTGCCGATGGCGAGCTGTCAGATGGCGAAACCGAAGGAAGTCATTTGCCTCGTAGCGCAAGCACAGTGGACTTTGAGGGTGTTTCGAATGCCCCAGAAGAACGTATTCCGCCTCCTAAGGCAGACGAAGGTGGTTGGCGAGACGCCGCGTGGCTTTTGACCGTGGCGTCCAAAGTCTTGCTTTAGAACCTGAGACAAATTCCGATACGATGTTTCAGGAACATGAGGAACTAGAAGATCATTGCACTTGCGCTGCGTGTCATCTTTTATAAGCAGGCGAGATATGCGATATTGACAGCTTTCACGTTTAAGAGTCACACTGCAGCTGTGCTGAAAAGTCAATTCTACATTTCTACGACGGGGCCTTACCCCCTTGGCTGTCAGAAACGGAAATATATGAGCCAAGCGAAGGACCTCGATATCTTGCTGCTAAGAATAGAACACGAGTTTTGTATCTGATTATCGAACAGTACAGTTTCATTGATCTGGAAGTTCACAAAACGGCCAGACCCGGTAATACTAAAAACAGTCTTGGAATCCAAATCCCATTAAGACCGTTAGTTGGCTCTACCTAAGCTTCTGGAAAAAAAACATTCTACAAATAAAAAACAATGGGAGTGCTTGCTCAAGGTACATACATGCACACGTTGCATACACATGTGCCCGCTTCGCTTACTCCTTGCCTACCATATGTAGTGTTTCTGCTCGACTATTTGTAAAATGGAGTGTAGTTTGGGTGCGGGGAAGGCCACGAATTGGGATCTCTAGCCAACCCGCATGGGAGAATCGTTCAGCTGGCTAGGTAGGTAGGTAGCTAAGCTTGAGACAGGGCCAAAACCGGATTTTTTTACTCAAAAAAATGCAGCCAACATACGTTCGAGGCCTTTGATTAAGACGTGTGTCACTTATGGGGTACGAGAAAAAGAATACGATTACTTTGAGGATTAGCAATATATGTTTTTTCTACTCATTGCGCTCTGAAGCTTGCTGAGAACTACCCAGGTAGATTAAATCCGGGCGCTAGAACCTGTTAGTGACTGTCCCTAAATGTGAAATGGGCCCGGAAGTGCAAGGAGATACCGTAGCGTAGCGAACCGAGTTAATATTTAGTGTGGTGGATAGATGGGTTTTAGTCCATTAGGTACGTCAAATCGAATAAAGATATGTCGTTCTTATATCCACCGAGGTTCTATATTAAAAGCGAGGCATTTTAAGAGAGGACTTCTGACTGTCTTTTAAATAAATAAATAAAAAGATCTATCGAAATACATCGGTCCAACTCATTCTGAATTTCGAAATATCCCTTACGAAGTTATGTGTTGGCCAATGAACCCGCAAGTCGTACGTAGCCGAGAATTGCGGGAACAAACGAGGTCGATCTCCTCTTTGCCTTTTATGGACTTTGGGTCAAACCGTATGTAAGAAAAGAACCGTAAAAAGATGATCCGCCTATGTATGCACTTGTCAAGGCTATCATGCACAGGTAAATTGTGATGAGTATCATGTAGCATGCCGCTACGCATGTACATAGAACATGTGGATTCGACAACGAGCCTACGTCCGGATCCGGCCTTTGGAGCTCCGCCGAGTCGAGATCCATTATCTGGTGCTTCTTGAACCGTTCAGTGCGAGCGGGTAACAGATAGGCTAACAGATAGACTAACAAATACCTAGACAATGTCGAAAGTGCGAGTAGCACTGTGTTGTAGCACGTCACACGGGAATTCAGGGTCTGGATTTACTTATGACGTTTTCCCGATTGATGCCCCCACTTCAACATCAGATGCATGTGGAGACCCGGAAAAGCTTCGAGAATAAACAACGTGACCAACCCCTCGGTGCAGGGGGCGCGACGTGATATCGAGGGGTTCAACGATGCCACATTGGTTTTTCCACCATAATACGGAATACATACCTACAGATCCTAGTATGGACGCGACCGCGCATCCGTTAAGGCTGTTTAAACTTTTCCATTAGCCCGAGCAAAGAAAAAAGAAGAGGCGCCGACATTATCGCTTCGGGTCTCCTATAGTGGAAGCTTAGCTGAGAGGTACCGCAGCTACGGCGCTCAAGGTTGAACGCAGCCCGCAGATATGGTAACATTTGATGTTGCGGCTTCTGCAAGCGGCACGCCGTAGTAGTGAACTACGTTCTGTAGCGCTACATTGTGTTCGGGATCAACGTGTACTATAGCATAGTTTTTGGTTCCGTCATATTTAATTATTGCCAATAGCTTGGGATTTTGCGAGTGGCACAGGATCACTGGAATAGTAACACCATAAGCTAGTAGGATCAGCTTAGCGGACCGCAACTATGCGGTCCAGGGTCCAGTATGTTCTGAAGACGCAAGGAGACCGGGGGAGCATGCAGTATTGTATATAGAAAGAGATGTGTCGACGTCGATCATAGAAGATTCCAGCGACGCTTATTTCGCTGAGTGGTGAGCGGGAAGCTTGATAAGGCTTCCCGCCTTCCCGCAACCCTCTCTCCTTGGCCGAGCTGGATTGTGTTGATGGCGAACATTCGGCTTCACGAGCGAGATCGAGCCTGGTCCATCACGAAAGTATACATTTTCATGTTGAACATCCGTAAACGAGGACAGCAAGAAGACTCGGTAACTAGGGCACTAGGTAAGGGGTTTAGGTGCCCAATATATCCTTGGGAAACGGTAAGTTAGCTTAACCAATCTCTCGTCAATCTCCTCGTCCCATCCATCCCACGTCGGACCTGATGGGTCCTTCACCTTCGTTAGGCAGGGTAGATGCGTTATCGTGCAAGCCCGACAGGCGCAGATATGGCGGCGGATAGGGCGTAGTACTCATCTCCTGAGTTCGGTCAGCTCCTTTAGTAGCAGAAGTAGCTTCCAATAGACTGGGTTTGACGATGGTTGGAGCCAAGAAATTTTGGATGTATGGTTGAATTTAGTACGTCCAGTATGTTTGGAATACATGTGGATGTGGAAGTAAAGATAGATAGGTAGGTACCCCACCAATATCACTAATACGCATTATTACACTTTTTATTCTTTCTTTTTTTTTGAAAGCGTCCATCACCCTTTTTCTCTTTCCTTTATAGACCATTAAGCGTTAAAGAACCCTTCGGCCCTTCCTTCTAAGTTTTAGGTAATAAGGAGGGTCATTTGGAATTCCGAATTAGGTATACCTACTAACCGTTAGGAAGGTACCCCAAGTAGCTAGTCGGCTAGGTAGCACCACATGCCTTATACATGTATTGTACATAATGAATTGCGCGCCTACCTTAATTGCATGGTTCCGCATCGGTGACGTTGTTTAAAGACCCTTGACGCCCTTGACGGAACCCCTAAAAAACCGTAATCTCTAAGCACGAAACCGCCTATTACTACCTTAGGTACCGTTCAGAACAATCGAACCCCTACATCCTACTACCATCTCCTACATTACCTTAACCTACCATTTACAACACCTAGCATTACGTGTAGACAACCCAAGCAACCCGCCAGGTTCGAATGAAGTATTATTCCATATTCCAGCCAGTTCAACGTATTATTCGGCATAGGTGCCGACCAGCAAATAGTCTAATAAATAAACCCATACACTGTGCGACGTGCCGCCCCATCAACCCATTTTGTTACCATTACCCATCACCACCACTTCCTACCGATAGACCCCACCTAAACATTCTTCGATCAACACTAGAGTGGTTAAAGTCGCAGCGGTTTTTTTCAGACCACCCACACGACCCTCTTTCCAGGACATATTTTGTCCATTTCGCCGCTACCTTTTTCTATTTGTGACTTTGGGTTCAATCGCATAGGCTCCCTTTTTCGCTACGACCAAAGTCGACTTCTCTGACTGGCGCCGTCTTTTCAGGACCAGTCCTTTACATCGCACAACCCGGCAACATGGCTGCTAACGACCAGGTATGAATGGAAACATGACTCTAAATCAAAGTATAATACTTAGGCAAATGACTGACGGATCCTCGTCTGCCTGCGCAGAACGACGACGGTCATGACACTGGCAACCTGCCCGACCTAGGGGATGCGATCGATATTGTGACTTTTAGTCAGATCCTAGAGATGGACGACAGTGAAGACGATCGTGAATTTAGTAAATCCATTGTCTTCGGGTTCTTTGAACAGGCCGAGGAGACATTTGAGAAAATGGACATGGCTCTGTAAGCTCTACCCTCACGGTCACTGCTTACGATGCTCTTTGTGAACATTGGCCGCCCCGCAGTCCTAATAGATGACCGAAACTAATACGGCCGCTCTCTTTTTTTTTTATAGGGAAGCGCGGAATCTTGATGAGCTATACCGACTTGGTCATTTTTTGAAAGGCTCGTCTGCGACTCTCGGCTTAACTAAAGTTAAGGATAGCTGCGAGAAGATTCAACGCTATGGCAAGAAAGAGAACCTCGATGGCAGCCCAGAGAAGGATGAGACGCTCTGCCTATCTCGAATCACGGAAACTCTCAAGACGGTTAAGTCAGAGTACGCCGACGTAGAGCTGACGCTCAAGAATTTCTTCAACTCTACCTAGTCGACGGACGTGGGTCGAGTTTTTACAGTTTGAGTTCGAGTTGTACTATGCTACTAGCAACCTTCGCGATTATGGTCACCGCATATACACTTTTATGGGTACGACCGTTGCTAAAGGGCTTCGAGCATCATGAGAAATGAAGGCTGCTCCAAGTTCTCAGAGAGGGAAAGGAAGTAGCAGCCGATTATTCTACCTAACCCATCAGTTGACTTCAGATATACCCCACGCCTGTCCTCTCGTACTTTTACAGCTTCGATCATCAGGTAGAGAGCAGTTTACTTTGTATGACGGTTTTATTGCAGGCAGTTGGTTGATGCGCGTAACTCGGAGCACAATACACAGTACGATCATCTAGGTTAGTCTTAGGAGGCGAAAGCTTCTCACGATCGGACAGGCAAGTCGCGCTCCTCTAATACACCGATTTTTTTTTTCATCCGCAGCCTTGCCTCGTCAGCTTTATGGATATTATTGCCCGTATCCTGCAATGGAGTGCCAACGCCACCCCACGTGCAGATTTGGATTTCTTTTATGCTTAATACATAGTAGCGCATCTTGACGTACTTCTCTACGTCATACTCCATACTCGTTATGCAGGCCATATGATGCAGGGTCATCGTTACCTTTACCTATCTCTTCCTACGTGGCTAATGCAGATCTCCCGTTTGCCGATCTGAGACGGCTTACTACGCGATCCTAATATTGTAGGAAAATGTCAAGTAGTTCTCGCTCTTGACTTGGAAGCATTGATTCGAAGTGAAATGTTATAAGTTTGCGCTTGAATTACAGATAATAAGGAGACCAATCAATACCACGTTTTGCTAACTGATGGCTTGCACGTGGGCTCTTTTAGAGCCGTGCTATTTTAATCCATACCTAAAGCTCTGGAGCTATCTTCAATGCTTGAAAATTAAAGGCTTAGATCTCATCTCGATTATCTTCCGCATATCGAGATATTACCTAGCCAACTTATTTATTTAGTCTGCGCACCGAAAAATTACGTAAGAAGCTGTAGGTTTAAATTTCTCAGATATACTCGAGATATGTAATAGGTGCACTGAATTATTATTCAACATATACAAAGTTGAATCGCGGACCAAGCCACACACAAACCCTATATGAGAAATTTGTTATCCCTTTAGCTCAAGAAGTATATATAATTTGTTCTTTGGTAGCGCTGTGTTGTATTCACTATGCCGCCGCGGCCGTCACCTACGCACTTCTTATGCTTACCACTTGTTACGGGGCAATCCCGCCACCAACTCTCGGCAAGTCTATCAGCCTTTAGCAGAGATGTGACAAGCCCAGACAGTTTCGCTGTGCCAGAGCAAGCTATTCGACCATTAGGTACACTTCACCTTACAATTGGCGTTATGAGCTTTCCAAGGGACGATGGCTTAGATAAGGCGGTGGCGCTCTTAAAGACACTGGTACCTAGGAAAATAATGGCGAACATCACAATGGCGAACATCAACGGAGCTGAAACAGGACAAGAGCCAACTGGGCCGCTGTCCCCTTTACTATCTGTAACGCTGAAAGGCTTACATTCAATGCAGCCAACATCATCTTTGGCATCGGTGCTTTACGCTCCACCGGTCGATACTGAAGGTACTCTATTGCGATTTTGCGAGAATCTGCGATCGACCTTTCAGGAAGCCGGACTGATGGCAGAAGAAAATCGACCCTTGCTACTACATGCTACTATTATGAACACGATATACGTCAAGGGGAGAAATCGCAAAGGTGGGAAGCGACAGGAGAAGCTGACAATCGATGCAAGGGACATACTAGACCGCTATGACGATTACGTATGGATGAAGGATGTCCCGGTAGAGAAAATTGCGATATGTAAGATGGGGGCGAAGAAGCAAGAAGACGGTGATGAAGCGTACGAAATTGAAGCGGAAATTGAATTAACTTGACGATCATGGGTTGCTTGAAATCAAGCATTTTGAAAAATGCATGTATGTAATGTTACAAGAATTTAGAAAGTCGAGCTTCATACAGCCCGGTATAAGAAAGCTTGATACCACGGGATCAGAAGGAGCATTAACTAGCCTTTGTACTACGGTATTGTACTGACAGTCTACCCGAACTTAAGCCGTTACGCCATCCACACAGCCTCAAGTACCTAACGGTTAGGTAGGTGTAGGTCTCCTCTGTTCTTTCCGTACCTATTGACGACCTCCACGCAGGTGCTGGTGTGGATTGGCATGTAAGTCGCGTTAGGCGCCGAGAAAATGTATCCGATTACAACCGATTTTGTCAATGTAGAATTCGTCTTGCAACGCCCTGCGCGCAACTCTGCTATTTTAACACCATGAGCCCACCAGAGAAACGGCGGGGCAATTCCCATTCAATCCGCCCTTCAGCCTCGTCACGAAACAGCATAATCTCCCCTCCTCCTCGTGCACAGCTCACCCGCGCAGCTTCTACCTCATCTTCGCCCGGTCCGGATAACGAAAGTACCCATGATGTCACGAGTTCGGGAAGCAAAGATAATAGTGCGTCGTTGGCCTCTAAGGAAAAGGAGAGCATCATCCTTAAGGAGAAAGACGATAAGATTGCCGAATTGAACCGGGAACTTACTGTTATGGAAGCTGAGTTCACGCGCGAATTGGATATACTATCTCAAAAAGAAGGCGAGACGGCTAGTTTCTGGCAAGCGAAGTATTCGGACTTAAACCGGCAGCTCACACGAGTCGAATCCGAGCTCCGATTGCTGCGTGCCGAGGTCGATGTAAAAGAGGCAGAGCGAGCTGAGTTACGCGAAGGATGGGATCTTTTGCGAAGGGAAATAAAGGAGCGTGACGACGAGATACGAGCTTTAAAGGGCCATATTGCTGGACTCAAACAGTGGGTCAGCACCAATACGGCGAGAGGCCATCAGACGACCGACGAAGAGTTCGGGGACTCTATGACGAAACTTGGGAACGGCTTGCAAAATTGGGTTATCGTGCATTTCAGACGAGCAAAACTTGGTAGGATGGCTCAACAACCATATGTGCGGCTTAGACGAACGTTTAATTAACGAGGGCGTAGATTTTACGCATGCCGATGATGCTGTAATCCACGATCTTGCAGAACTTGTTCCTATGTATGAGCAACTTGCAGCATCGGCGAAGGTACATCTTCTTCAAAACGTGGTATCCAGCATCTTGGTGGAGACCGTCTTCGAAGCCTATTTTGTTGGTCTTCCCGAAGATCAAACTCGCCAATTAACCCAGATAGAGAAGTATCTTGGGTCGATTAGTAAGTACCCTTAAGTCTGAGCTCGCCTTAGGATGACAGCTGACCCTTTGGTAGGCTCAATCGAAGCTGTGAACCAATGGCGTGCGACAACACTCACCATACTCCGAAAGGAGACCACCCCGCGGATGCAGGAAGAAACGACGCTAGTGATCGAATCCGTTATTTCAAGGGTCAATCACATTTTAGATGCAATTACAGATGCCAGCGCAACGGAAGTTCGGGATACTGCGCTTCGCGCGCTGGTGCACAGCTCGGTGGAACTAGCACGCTTATTGGTAGTGCAAAAAGCTACATTCAAAGTTTACATGCCCAAGATCTTCCCTCACCAAAGGATCTTATTTGAGACATCTACTATGGAGGACATCGGGGCTGAAGACGAAGAGGATTTAGCTGGACGCGAAATATGCTGTGTGACCTTCCCCGGAATCACCAAGACGGGGGATGAGAACGGCGACCACCCGCATTTCAAGAATGTCGTGGCAAAAGCTAGGGTCCTTTGCGATCCCGAATGAAGCGAGCTACCTCACACACACTATGACCTGAAACCGAGAAAGACTAAAAGGCGGTGACTTAAACATTTTGATCGAGATAGCTCAACTGGCTCGAATAAGATGACATCTTTTAGACGTGGTGCTCCATCTTCTCCCATACGATCTAACTCTACATCGGAACTCGAACGCGTACGACATATCGGAACGGTAAGAATGGTAAAAATGGAACACGCACGCAATAGGCGGGTTTGAAGCCTGAACCAATTGGAGCTGCATCATCGTCCCTCTAAATTTACACGACACATCTCAAGCGCAGGGACAGGGGAATTAGGAGGGGTCAAAGAATAGGGAAAATGAATGAAGTGGAGTAAATTGAGGCTCTGCGGCCAAAAATTTCTGCCGGTTCTCCCCTCCTCGCTGTCTTGAATCCACGGATCGAACCTATTGGAGCAACTGTTAGTTGTATGCATACCTCCCACGATTGACTCATGCAACGTGTATGCAACTTCGTGCATATCCATCACTTACCACGCATATCATCCATGCTTGGGAGATATCATAAACGTCGTTTCAAACTCACTGCTATAGGAAGTTCATGATGTTCTGACCTAAGAAAAAAGAAGCATACGAAAACAGTCCATCCACTCGAGACGCTCGAGACGCTCGAGACGCTCGAGACGCTCACCGGTCTCGCAGACAATTAACCAGGCGGGTTACCTCGTCAGTGTTGTCTCCGTCTGACCACACGGATCGGCATCTGTGATACACGGAACACTGTCCCGCTTTCCAGACATATTAACTCCATGATCAAATGCCTTGGCATTCCAACTTACGTGGACCGGTGGTCCAATGTACGAGAGGAAGCCAGTAGGAGAGATATATATCTCTTCAAAGCTAATATATGAGGTCTCGAGGCAAGTGCATAACATTGGCCGACGATTCGGGGTTTGCACTGAAGACAGCCCGAATCATACGCTAGTCTTATCCGTCCGTGCCTAATTGACAGCACAAGTATGACAGCAAGTTATAGACAGGGACTTTGTGGTGACGAGAAGAGATTTAACATGATAGACTATCACGACCAAGCATGTTAACTGACTTGACATCGACCGGCTCTCTGAAAGAAAAGAAATCATAGCTCGACAGGCGCATCAGACATCTAGGGACACGCTGTTGCACGGGCATCAAATAGCTGAGATATTCGGTGATAGCCCGTCAGTCGAGGTTTGAAGTCTCGTGAGTGGAGCTTGGATACAGTAGATTGGTCCTCTACCACATCCGGGCCAGCCATTCAAGACTGAGCCAGTCAAAACTGTGTATGACTGCTGATACGGCGAAAAGACGCCTCATTGACATGATAAAGATATGACGAATCGTCTGCACGGCTCTTCTGCATCTACAACGGCTCTTTCGTGCACAGATGACTCTTATTCCCCCACGATAACCCACTTCTGTAGCTCAGGGGAGGTTGATTGGCACGGGGGTTGCTTGTGAACCATTCAGATATCATTGGGTTATCCACCACTCCCTGGCATGGATTCGATGAGTGGCCTAGAATTATAGCAAGCAAGGAATATGAGACTCGTTGCTGTAAACAATTTTGACATGCTGCTTCCGGCATAATTGCCGATCTTCGGATCGGTTCTCGGATAGTTGTGGTCTAAGAATGCCTCATACTGATTCAATGGCGTTACGGCTATCCGATCAAATATATCCACGTCTCCAGGTAGCATAGCTGCATTATGTGGCCCAGGGTGGGTGTGGGAGTATGCAGCTCTGGAGGGTTGGATGCACACTCAGAAACGAGTCGGTGGTGGGCGCCAACATTCCGGGTAGTGATTGAGAGACCATTATTCGTTATGGGTGTAATAGGTCGTATACCCCTGCCGGTAAACATGAAATGCTCTGGACTGGATCATCAGATTGGTACGAAGTATTTCAAGACAATAACAACCCAAGAAGAGCCCATCATCCTGTTTTTCCGAGATTCATCTTTCCAACAAATCTCCTAGATGTCAATTAAGAAAGATTGAACTTACCCTTGGCCTAAGAATCATCTTACACTGAATTTCCGAATCCAGTTTCTCCCCCCCCCTCTCTCTCTCTACCCCCCTTAAAATCGACCATCTCACTTAGGGCCGCCACAACTTGTTGCAAATCAGCATCAGCATCTGCAGCAAAGTGGGCCAGTCCAGTTCCGAGCTATACATATGAGAATTGTATTGCTGCACGTTCGAAAAAAAGAAAAAAAGAAAAGAAAGTCGATGACAGCTGGCGTCTGTCCAACACTTCTTTCATTCCGAGTTACCACACCTATTATCTCCGAGAAGAGACTCAAGGATCTGAGAGCATCTATACCATTGGGCATTAGCTCAGGTAATACTGTAATTCAAGCAAAGTCTCTTCGAAATCGCCGGCAAAAGTCAAAAGTCCCAAACAAAACTCCATCGGCCATCGCTTCTTCTCCACCATATTTTAAAAGGCCATCTTGAAATAATACCGACAATCAAGAACTGGCTCTCGTATCTGGCCTAGCTGTTTTATTAGTTGTCTTCCTTGGCTCGCTTTCGCATCGCCGACAGCCACTAATCACACCATACTGCCTCAACCCCTCCATTCCTCGCCAGGCAATATGTCTATGCGGACATCCAGCTATGGGTCTTCTTACGCAGAAGGCACTTCAGACACTGCGTCGATTTGTAGTAATAGTACCATGCCGACTCAATACGGCGATGATTCATATAACCAATTTCATAACCCGGGCCCTGGGATGATAGTTTTACCGTGCGAGCTTTTCGGATTTGGCTGCGAGCACACTTTCAATTTTGACGAAGTCGATGCTTGGATTGAGCATATAATCGCCGACCACTTCAGGGGCAAGCTCCCTTCTAAAGCTATTTGTTGGTTCTGTGACATATGGCATTTTGACTCCAAGGCGCCTGAAGTTGGAAATGACCGTCGCCAAAATTTCGATAATAGGATGTGGCACGTCCGCGAACACTTCGCAGAAGGTAAAACGGTTGAAGACATACGTCCTGACTTCCACATGCTTGAGCACCTGCATCGCCACCAAATTATTAGTGAGGATACCTATATCAAGTACAAGAGGTGGAACGACCTATCATGCCGTCGTGAAGAGATGAAGCATGTCCGCAGCCGTAACTTTGTGTCACCGGAGATGGAGGCACGGAACCGACGCTCGCAATTGGTTGTTGTAGACCTTGTCAAAGATGAAAGGCAACGGAAGAAAGTACAGGGACAAAAAGGAAAGGAGCCTCGAGACAAACAAAATCATCGCTCGAAGCGATAAATCGGGGAGGGAGACATGGGACTATAAGCGCGACGGGAATGCCCACAAATGGTCCGCGAACTACTGCTGCTACTGCTGCTACGTCTCGTCGGCTGGCAGACAGCTAATATGCAACACATACACCCAGCACCCAACACCCAACACCCAACGCCCACATACCAGCTTTGTCTAAATCCCGGCTCTCGGTCCCGATGCCGGCCCAGGTCTGGTCGGACTTTATATTCCAATTCTTTTTCATTGTTATTTCTTACCATGATCTCTTTCTTTCATATTTCCTACCCTGGCGGCAGAGTCCTACCCCTAGAAGGGAGAAGGGAGGAGGGAGGAGGGAGAAGGGTCTTATATCTTATAGTACGTTCTACGTTCTACGTTGGAACGTCGAATGCAGGATCGGTAGCCTCCTTCCACTGCATGACGCATGGGAGATCGGCAAGGCAGAATCGTGCATTCTTTTCAGCCCTATGGCCCCCAGGTTGCCTTGTCTAGTCACGTTTGCATCGCCCCCGATGCGACACAAGGCACCTAATGCAAGGGGGTGGCCGGAAGGTGCCGAGTCTTGGCCAACCCCGGAGCCTCGCCTCGCCTCGTGTCTAGGACATGCACCTATCTGGGGTCGGATCGGGACGCATAGCATGCACACCGTTAGCTGGCGCAGAGAGCCGCTGGGCGGACGGCATACCGCATACCGCATAGCATACACTGCATGCTTAGGCAAATATGGGGAAATCCGAACAAGGTGGCACTCTCTTTTCCGGGAAAGACAGCTACTTTTCGACTAACGACGTCACGAATTCTCGATGCCTTATGATGAACGGGAAAGGCTCCCAAGCGAAACACATGTGTTTTGGGTATATTTGAAATGGATTAGGAATCGAATGAATATATGAAGGGATGAATAATAATGACTGATGATAATTACGACGATGGGATGATGCCTGGGAGAATGAATGTCGTCTAAAATAGGGTTAACAACAAAGATACCACTCAGAATTTGCGTTGGATTTTCCAATGGTTATAATGAAATTTCCCTTCCTTTTCTCCCCTCTCCCCTCTCCCCTCTCACCGCAACTTTGCCTCGTAGGAGTGAATTTTGCGTTCGCTCGTGGTGGCGTAGCAGGAGCTTCGCCTCGCTACCCATCATTCGACCGCCCAGTTAGGTAGAATTTTCCTAGCCAACCAACAGCCAACAGCCATTCGTCTCGTCTGTCTACCTTTGAATTTAAAGCCTTTAATGAGAGGGGTATCATGCCCTTCGTATACCTCCCTAAAGAAGTCTTAAACCTCGTACGTTTAAATATAAAGATATGCTTGGTTCTCTCATTCTACCCGTCGCACTCTAAGCCAGCAGCAGCTAAACTAGACCACCAACCCCCTCCGCGCAAATTAAGCCATGCCTCCTCTGCGGAATGAGGATAGGTAGACCGATGGAGCAAGCAAGACGATAAAAAGTTTGACCCGGGAATAGTAAGCACTATATATACTGCCTACCTACCTAAGGTATATACTTACCTACAACCTCAACAAAGCCATGGAACCTCGCGCTCCTATACACCAACCTTACCCATCCATCTCTGCAATTTCGATTTCGTCGTCGGGACGGCCCCTCACCGGTGTGACTAATCCCAGCAGACAACAACCAACAACCAACAACAACAATAATAGCAAGACCCCATCTGCAACGAAAAGAAAAAAAAAAAAAACCAGGGCAGCGGCCGCGCAGTGCCGCTGACTGGTTGGCCGTGCAGGACAAGGCAACCGTCCGCCTCAATCCGAATCTGACAGGGTGGGTACCGAACCCTCTTTTTACGCCCGGCTTGTTAGACGTCCCATGTCCTAAATATGTAGGTACGGGTCGTGATTCGCCAATGGCCCGCGTCTAGGACAACTCGGTATGGGGGAAAACGGACGTGCTGCCCCTCTTCTTCTACCCAGCCGGGCATAACGACGTACATACATAGTAAGACGGGCGAGAAGGGTAGGAATCAATTAGGATTATATATATATATATATATATAGGATTCTATACGTACTATACATACTGTGGCTGGATGAAAATACTACAATAAGACCCCCGGTTAGATTGCTCTCAAGGTTAGTACTTTTTGTACTGTATAACTATACCATCATACGGAACCTACCTACCTACCGGGAAAACTCTTGCGCCAGTAGACAGGATAGTATGGTCGAATTAACACAAGCAAGACGTAACACGATATAGGAAGCGTGATGATTGCTTCTTCGTCGTATAAACGAACATTCTATACTAACAATCGAGTCCCCTATATACCGATGGCATATACAACACATACAACACATACAACTAGCTCATATACCATCGAAGCAGTGTAACCTCGGCTCGACCCGAAGCGCCCCTTTCAACCCAAATGAGCCTACCGATTATTAGCTCCTGGTGGCGTAATAAATCGTCCCGTCAGTTCAGATATATCCAAAATCATCCGTTCCACCCTTTGCTTTCTAATGCAGTTGAAGACCGGCAGGAAGTTAAGGCTCTTATAATTTGTGCGAGTTTAGTGAAAATCAGCCTCAACGCGCCCGTATCGTACACCATCGACTTTGAGTTCGAACCCGAGACCGGCACTGTCGACAATCATCTCGAGCGTAAAGTCTAAGTTGTCGAATTCGACGCCCCGTGTCGTCGTAAGCCGCGTGAATAAGTTCCGCGGCACCGCACTTAAATCTGTCGTCAGGGTGCAGACACTCACGAGGTCTCTTGAGTACGCCGCTGGTGGCTCGTCTGCCTCGCATGCAATCAGGTCGTCTGTCACCACCAACGACTGTCCTGGTCGGAAGTTACGCGTGTAGTGAAAAGCGATCGGCGAGAGGGGAGATATTGCTTCACCCTACGACACAGAGGTATGATGTTAGAATGACGAGTGCTATGTAATAAAGTAATTGAAACGGCGAAGAAGGGTAGGAGAGAGGAAAGGGAGGAAAGGGAGGAAAGGGAGAAAGGGGACGGGAAATAACCGACACTTCACCGTCAGTTTGATAACTTACCTTCGCGATATGCCATTGCATTCGGTCGCTGACCATCCACCGTTCCCATAGAGGACTCCAGTATCTTTCGCTCACGTTGTGTTTCTCTTCATCGTAGACGGTTGCGTATGATGTTCCATAGTGCATACGAGCCTTCCTGCTGATAACCATATTTCCTTCAAGTCCACGTAGTACGGCTCCACGGACCACTGCCGTCCAAGCGTACACGGGCTGCATCACTTCAATATTGCCGTTCCCTTCATATGCTAGGCTGGTAGTGGCATGCGTTGGTCGCTCTGTGTAGGGAGGTGGTGCTGTGCTTGTAAAATGCGACTTCAGCCGTCGGTAGAGGTAGTCGCTCTGACCGAAACCACCGACTAATATGATTCCCGAAACGATGTCTCTCTTACCACGGATAACATCTACCTGGCCTTGGACGAGGTCGCAGACTTCCTTGACTACAGGCTCGAAAATGTCCTTAATCTCTTCGGCTGTTAAGACGAGGAAACCCGAGTCTACTCGCGCTTCTTCATCGTCGGGCAAGCCTGGGAATCTATGGGGCGTAAGTAGTTATTCCTTAGGAAATAATAACCGGCAATTATAAGTAGAACTTACGGAACATTGACCTCTTGATATTCATCTTCATTGAAGTTTCTCTTGACGAACTCCTCAAAGTATCGAAGGCCCATCTGCCAAGTTTTGGCTTTCTTTAGTTTCATCTCCTCGAACCGACTATGACCGAGCCGGCCTCGGACGTGTTCTTCGAATCTGTAGTTTAGAAATGCACTTCCACAAAGGCCACCGGTTCCAACAGCTGACTCTTCAACCCTAAGCGGCTTTAATGATATGATTTTATATGCGATCAAGCTGTATAATTAGTTAGATATGGGCTCGGTAAGTATCTAGGGGTCATAAAAGCACTAACTCCACTGTCCCGCCACCTGCATCGCATACGATGAAGTTATCTCCCACGCTGAGGTGATTCGGCTGGATAGCTTTTAGAGTATAGACAGCAGCGGCTTCGGGCTCGCTGACCATCTGGATCTCGGACTTAACACCCATCCCAGCCCTTTCAGCAGCCTGTAAGGTTGTGTTTTTTGCTGCATCGGACCACACAGCAGGGCAAGTGAGTACGAAGTCTACGTTAGTTGATGCCATAAACGATTCTCCGTACCGCCGAGTAAGGGTATCCATGGTATGTTTATAGATCTCGGTGAGATAGTCACTAACGGCATCGACAACTGTCTTATTATACTTCTTTAGCAGCGTGGCAGTCTCCTGTGGGCTAACATAAAATGGTAGTTTCTGGGATCGGTCGAGGAAGAGCTTGATACATCGTAACCGCGACTCCTCAGGCTTGAACTGAAACCCCCATTTCACATTGGGCTCCGTCCCCGCTGCTGCGTCGGGCGGGAAATCGTATGAAATCTCAGTAGGAACTTTGTCAGATGTGATGCCGTTCCCTCCCGGCCACGTCTTGATGATCTCAACATCATCTGGCGTCGATGTATATACTGCGGCTACTCTGTATTCTAGTCAGTTTGCCGAAGCCGTACACGACAGTCTCGTAACTACGTAGATTATTATACTATATTCTATTTCGGTATGATGTCCGAGAAAGGGTATATAGCCTTAAAAAGGGTATGCTCATGCTATGCTATGCTCGACTTCCAAGCTCTATCCTCTGCACAAAATGTGGTGGTAAGAAGCCGGACTCACCCAGAAAACGTAGTACCGAAGTCAACACCGACAATGAGGCGGTCATTTATAGTTAGAAGCTCCCGAGCGGGCTCACGCACCGGACCATTGACGGCTTCTGTCGACGCCGGCGGAGTGTAATTAGTGAAATAGTTCCTACTAGCCTGGTTCCTGGGACTTGGGGATGATCGAATTGGTAAATTGAGATTCATGATGCCGCTCTTTTCGATTCTGTCAGCGTTGAGACTCATTCATGTATACTAATGGTCCAATATGGGCCCCTAATATTTGTGGTCTTGTTGTCTTGGCGTATGCGCCTTGTTGGAGAGAGAGTTGCGACAGAGCGCGAGAAAAGATGACCGACTGTAGAGTAGTGCAATAGAGTAGAGGACCTAGGATTAGAAAAATAAATAAAGGTAAATATAACGACAAGAGAGTAAATTAGAGGATTAGAATAGAATATGAATGCAAGAGTCCCGAGTCACAGCCGTCGCACAGCCGCTCTAGCTTCCAACCTTCTAGTATGCAACTTGCGGGGGCTGACCTCTCCTAATAACCTGGAAGGTACTAAAGATACTTGGTATTTTACAGTACCATTTAATTCTAAAATTCTCTTTTCTCTTTTCTCTTCTTTTTTCCTTTTTCTCTTTTTTCGTCTTCAAGAATTTTATGAATATCAAGTTTCGTTAAAGACTCTTAAAAGAGAAGAAGAGGAGAAACCCTCCATAAATACCTACGTAGATACGCAGTTAATCTGGTTTATTCTGCTGCCTGAACCGAAGCTGCTACCTGGATGCATTCCGAGTCAAACGAGGCAGGTACTAATGTATCGCCCTCTGGGGCTGATTTTGAGCTTTAGGGCTAACATCATAGAGGGGCACGCACTAATGTAGACATATGCATGTATACCACTTTGTCATGCTTTTATAATACTAATTTGCAAATATACCACTACTAGCACCGCGATGATAATGATAAAATCTAATATGAAATAGTCTTAATAGTCCATGCAGAGGGAGGACTCTTCTCAGAGTTGATTGAGAGCTAACGCTATGCCCAGTGTACGATATAAATAGTACTGCATTATATACCCGTCCTTCGGTTACCATACCGTATATGACAAACTATCGGGGCTGCAAACCTCCAGACATGTCTAGACTCAAGTTAAATTCTTCCAGGTCAAACTACCGCCCAAAACACCAAGATAACATATGCAGATTTTTTTCTACTTTGTACAATTGCTGTGGTTGCCAGGCCCGTCTGAGCTGTGCCCTAATAATCACCACACCTGTCCCTAATTATCTTTTTTTTTGCCGTCAGATGCAACGAAGTAAATGTGCCTGAGGCCACCCACATCTAACAAAGGGAATCATGTCTTGCCGGGTCCATGCCCTTTTGAACCTTGCAAATCAAATCTATAGTGGGTATTCTCGAAGATAAGTACGGGCGAAAACACAAAATCAGCTGGCCTTTAACCATAAACCAGCCGCTGGGGTATTTGGGGTATTTGAGATCCGAGATTGTTACATCGTAGACTGGGACTGGCCAAATGTCGAATCGGACTCCAGATCGACGAACGGAAATCGAGCCAAGATTGGAAAGTATGCTGGAAAATGAGTGCTGCAAAATATAATGCTTTAAGACTCCATAGAACCCCGAAATGAACTCCTAACACCGTGCCATGAGGAACATGTGAAACAACCAATACCAATCGAAATGTTTAGAATCTGTTACCAGCAGCCCAAATGCTTGCAGCCGCCGAAGATGCCCACTCGCCTTCTTCGTACGGGGGAGTAGGCCACTTGTTCTGACCATCTCGTCCCGAATTCTTGCGTAGGTCTAACGGCTTGGGTGCCAGGGATTCATGGCCATCCCCGAAAAGCACGGCATTTCCACTGGCTGATGGGGACGGTGTCGGGTACGGGTTCGAGAGCCCAACATTACTAGCTGATTGTCTAAGATTGGCCTTTCCTTCTGTCTCGAGTCGCTTCATGGCCTTATGGGTAGAGTGAAGTGCTTCGTCTAACAGCTCGTCTTCCTCGTCTAAGGCATCGCTCTGCACACCATGAGTTGCTTGCGCCCTTCTCGTTCGGCTAGAAATTGGCCCGGGTGTACGAGCAACCCCGATAAGGTTATCAACAGATCTAGGTTGCTGATGAGGTAATGAATGATGTCGCTTCAAGTTACCACTTGACGCAGTCATATGAATAGGTGGTGCAGGAGTACCCAGCGCGGGATGAGAGTCGTGTAAAGTGCGATCCAACGATTCGTAATTGTCCACCTTCGCCATAGATCCGTTTTGGTCGATAACCATTGAAGATCGGTTGCTAGACCAAGGCCCACAGCCTGCCTGTGCCTCAAGGTCCTCATACGAAGGCGAAACAGGAGTTTGATGCCTACCAGAAAATCTCCTAGCTCGCTTGCGTAGATGAGAAAAGAAGCTCTCTTTATGTCCACTCGGGGGCGAAGCTAGCCCACTATTGCCATTCAGAGCTCGTTCGGCTTGTTGTCGGTGCATCTCGGTATAATGGCTTGCGCTCGAGGCTACCGAGAGCTGGCGGCCGATCTTTTTAGATTTGTCGTTTCCACTGGCATACAAATCATTATACGAGGGAGTGCGGTTCGACGCCTGAGCAGTCACAGCATCCGACAAGGGCGAAATAGGTCGGATCGTAGGCAAAATCGGCATGGGAGCAACATTCGATGGCCCATTAGTCCATGTAGTGCGCTTACCTGCGGCTGGCCTCGGTTTGGCAGCGGGGGTTTCCGCGATTTCGGGTGAATGAATTGGCGATGGACGCGGAGCCGCGACTATATCTTTTACACTAATAGGCGCAGGTGGACTTTCCGTGGTATCGTTGCGGCCGATCAACGATTTCCTAAACCATGAGGGTTTCGATGAAGTTGGCGTCCCGGAAGTGGTGTCTTTCCCACGGCTTATGTCGGATTGCTTGCGACCTAGTATCCTCGATGCTGACGACTTCGGTCGTAATGGGTCGACTGCATCTGTGAAATATTCATGAGCCAATGCCTGAGTCGACGTTGGCCGGCTCTTCGGGTCCCACATCAAACACCAAGTCACAAACTGGCTGAGAGACGCAGGCCATTGAGGCGCCTGAAGTATCGTATCCATTGAGTGCGGTGCCATCTTCGGGAAGGAAAACCCAAGCTTTCCAGCTAATCGTGTTCCTTCTCTCCAGTCTCCTCCACCTACTCGAGCGCCCGCCTTGTTATACCAGTTTCCGGGACTACCCATAATCTCGCAAACCCTCCAAACCTGATCAACTTCGTTACCTCCTGGGAAAAGAGGCTTCAGTGTCGCAATTTCGACCGCCATAGCACCAACGGCCCAAATATCTACCGGTGCAGAATATTCCCCGGCTCGCAGTAGTACCTCCGGAGCACGATACCATCGCGTCGATACATATGTTGTGTAAGGCAACTTGGAATGCGTCTCTCTTGCCAGACCGAAATCAGCAATCTTCACAGTGTATGCTGGAGGCGTAGAAGGCGGTGTCATCAATGCTGAATACCGCCTAAAAGAATTAACAGAGTCTTGATGTCCAGATGTCGTGACAAGAATGTTCTCGGGTTTAATATCGCGATGGAAAAAGTGGTGGGCGTGGATATGTTCGAGACCCTGCATAATCTGAAATAAGATGCTCTTGACACTTCCGTTGTCAAGGCACTTGTGATCGCGGGCCTTCATAAGCTGATACAAGTTTCCTTCCATATACTCCATACATATATGGAGTTTCTTGGTGAATGGATCGAGGAAAATATCAAGAGCAGGAACCAGATGGCTGTGCGGCGGTAATGTTCTTAGGAAAACAACCTCTCGAAGCTCAAGACACGGCGTGAAGGACTCGAAGGTCTTCTTCATAGTCTTAATAGCAACCTACAAAGTCATAGTTAGCCTACTGTCTTGCCCATTATACCTAATCACCGACATACCACTGTGCCACGGCGAGCTACGCTCGCGCCAGCAGTCCTAACCCTTGCTAGAACCACACTACCAAAACTTCCATCACCGATCTCCTTTAGAACTTCGAATCGATCCTCAAGGGGCAGCTTGTTAGCTTGAGGTATCGAAGACCCCCGGAGGGAATCGTATGTGACCGTCATGTTGACCATTTCCTGTGTTCTTGTTCGATCTCGATGGCCAGCTGCTAATAGCCCTTTGTTTAATCCTACTGAATAAGAGAGATATGACTACCTTCTCTTGTACAGTCACTATACCCTCTTAACAGCTCTATTGAAGAGCTATACTGGTGTACGGGTGCATTCAGCTTGGCGGGAACCGTTGATATAGAACGTAAGCGGTTCGGGTGTTGTCAGGATGGTTACTTGATATGCGGACACTAGACGCTGTTGTCCAAAAGAATCGTCGAAATCCACCACGATAGAATAAATAGGATAGATAATATGCAGAGGGGACAAGACAGGAAATGAGCAGGAAGAGAATGGATTAATAGGATAGCTTAGATGATTAAAAGAGACAAGGGGGTAATGAGAACCGGTATGCCGGGGGGCGGGTCGGCGGGTCGGCGTGGTCAAAGCTGATGTAGTAGGGGAGGGCTTCTGGAAATACTGCACACTCCTTACTAGCGTATCAGATGTCGTCGTGTTGGATCCAAGGGAGTGACGGATTGACGATTTCGTATATTGGTTTAAAAAAAGGAGAGGATGTAAGATTTCTGACCGTTGCGATTTATTATTATTTCAATTTTGCAACTTTTCTTCGAATATGCTGCCTTTGATTAATCTCTTTGGCTGAACTGATTGTTTCGAAAATGTATTTGTGAAGTGGACTTAGAAACTCGTCGCCAGGCAATAACGAGCCAGGGAAAAAAAACCAATAGTGAGAGGAATCAACAGTTCAATGAGGGCAGGAAAAACTAATAGTGAAAACTAATCGACCGGCTTTCTTATCGCGCATACAGGCACCTTTCTGTATGTGAGTATGAGCGAAAGCTAAACCATAGACTGAAAAAAAGAGAGTGAGGGAGAAAGAGTGAAAGAGGAGAAGAGATACGGGGTCGAATTGGAACGGCCGGATGGGAAGGGATCTCGAATGAGTGGACGAATTGATGGATGGATTGATTGATTGATTGAAGTGATTTCAGAGGTGTTTGACAGGACCTTCTCATGCGCTAAGCTAGAAACTGGGAAGGGGGGGGAGGGGGGGATCTTAGGGCAGCTTAAGCAGCTTAGCATGAATAAAGTTCCCCGGGGAGCATAATGACACCAATTTCGCTACTTACTTAGGTAAGGTACCTATGGGCAGACGTCGGGTCGCCCAGAAATCGAGCCAATCTTAGCAATTTACGCTTAAGACCAGGGGTATGAAAATAAAAAGAGAGAAAAATTTTAGTGAGTTACAATTCGGGTGGATTCCCCTTTTTTTAGTTTAATTAGCTATGGTCTTATTTGCCCTTTTTGATTCCCAATATCGCCATGCCTTTTTGTGATTCCTGCGAAAGTACCTGTCATATACCTCTTTGCCTACCGGCGGCTAGTGCTTCCTGAAAGGAACCCTTTAGGTACCGATGCACGTACCTAACTGCATAAAAGCACTACTCGGATACACCATTGTACATAGTGTATATATAGTTCACTTTTACTGTATTCGTACACAATAGGTACCAGCCATCTCTATGTACTACTACCCGGTAATATTTCCTGCCCCCGTTGAAATTTTGTTGGTGTTAGGTCCAGTAGGTCCTAGTTGACGTACCTAAGGGAATTATCAGGGCCGAAATCCCACCAAGATCGGATTTATTTAGTACATACGCAACGAAGACATGACGCACTGTGAAGGCTATTGAAATGTGCAATAAGACGAAATCTGTAGAGTATCATCATTCGAAACCTAGCCCTGCTTAGATCGATGGGTCATTAGTCCTGTCGCCTGCGCGTACATAGTACGTATCATTGATAGACCCATGTGAATAATCTCTCTTTTACCCAAGTATTCTCCATACTTGTCATCTTTAGCACCAGAGACGATGAGAAGCCGGATATAATAAGCACGCATGGATACAGCGCTGAGATAAGTATTACATTCAGTCGAGGTGACCTACCTTATCAAGATGGCTGATTTATAGACATTACACAGGAGAAACAAGGGCTGCCTAATAGGGAATACATGTACATAAATAAAAGACGCGTGGGTTAGGACCATATCCTGCTGTAACTTGTAACTACAATTAACGCCAACTCAGCATATATGTACGTATTCAACCACGAAGCAATAAACAGCATGGGTTTATCGCGTACCCGTGACCTCCAACCTCTTTTTGACGAATGATACTATTGACCGATTAACGGGCATCATCTAAAGTACTCTAGAGGGCAAAGCTTGGTGTGAAACCAAGAAGTACTGATAAGTACCCAATCTACGATCTCCCGTCAATACACCAGATGCATATGAACGGCGACAGGTCTTCCTTCTACGAGCAGAGTTGGCTGTTTCGTCATACCTGTTCATTGTCCTACCTATATTAGGTGCTTAGGCACGTAAAAAAATAAAAATAACTCGCTCCGGCTTGAGTATGCTGCGCCTTACCGATCTGTGGCTTTTTTCAGAATAAGACAATATTCCTTCTGTTCAAGCCTCAAGTGTACAGAACGGTGTCTAAAAGTGGCAGACGATGTACCTAATCCTGCATGATAGAGTAAGGTATCATGTACTCATGATAACTATATTCAACCTAGTTAACTTAAACGACGAACTCCCAGGGGTGCTTTAGGTAATCAAGATCCGTACCTGCGTGGCCGCGGTCCATAGAAAAGGGGGGGCCGAGAGTTGCGCGATAGTAAGTACATAAGCATCCCATCCCACTGCTGGGTCGGGGAAGAAGCTGGTTCCAAGCGGAGACGAAAAAGAGAGAGGCTGACAAGATTAAGTATTTCGATCACCTCAAGAACGAATTGGTCACACCGTCTTTAGAATTGAATTGAATTGAACCACCATTCGCGAAGTATTCGTCAGCATCCTTACATGCAACAAAACATGTACGGCAGTAAGTACATTACATTACGCAGTATATCTTGTAGAGGTAAGATACTAAAAAGGGAGACCGAGAATGTAGAATCCCAATTCTGGTCAAGAGCGATGCATGATACGCAGGGACTACTGCCCGTTTAGACCTGCCAATGGAGTCGTTCCTCACCATCGGGCGACGTGGCGCACTTTGAACGAAAACGACCCAATCAACTTAAGCCTTTCCGGGCAAAGCCCGGAGCAAGGGGCATACCGCGGGTTAAACAGGCACCATCCGTTGGAAAAAGCCATGCCCATGTGTACATGTGAGAGGTACTACCTAAACGTTATAGCGATTTAAACTTCCACCTACATATATTTTTGACAGAACTGAAAAATCTATATAAGTAGCACATATATGTATCTAAGAATCGGAAACCTTGAAGGCATCGATCACCTAAAGACAGATTCTCCATCTTTAACCACATGTGCAGCTCGATTTACGCAGGACTCCTTATTGTACGGTAACTACATATTTTTCCTAACATGTGGTTTGAGCAATGCTTGCACCCTAAACTTGCATGAATGGATACTCGGTACCACGTTCTATATATTAAACGGTCTAAACCCTTTACAGACCACGAGGAGCCCCTGAGACCTGAGTTCAATCAATGTTGAATTTAACGCGTGATATGTACCTGATGTACATGGTTACCTCAAGTACTAAGTTACATGTATGTACTGCTGGTTCCATCTATTATGCACATAATTGCATGCGGATGACTGTATTCGGGTACCGTAACTGAAAATTGCCGCTCTTGCCATTGCATAGGTAGATGGTACATAGAGGCCAAGGATGGAACGCGTAAACTTGATTCTCACGCGTATGTGTACATGAGTACAAAATATTAGGTAGTTTCGACCATTCAAAATCATGCAACAATGCCAATAAACATCCGTGTGTATTGTTGATTGTTGACATGCCGACTTCTTTCCGCGACAGACCATCTGACCATCTTTTCAAAGAGAAAGACGGTAAACACGGCTATTTATTGAGTCTTGGTAAATTGTGGCTCATAGCACGGAATAGATGGTACGGTCTACACTACTTGGATATCTCAAGCTCAAGCTCAAGCTCAAGCTCAAGATTAAGCCGTAGGGATTAAAAACCGTTGGCGATCACCTACTTATCTAATCCGTACAGTCCACGGATCATTGCCCGCATGGTCCCTACGGCGTCGCACGAACTTAAGAGCGGCCAGAGCGCATCGGTGGTGGTAATAAGGTGGAGAACGGGATGTCGATAACAGATGCATGTTTAATATCATCTATGCTTATTGCTGCAAGGTGCGTCTTTCAAGCGTCAGCGATTTCAATTTAAAACGCGCCTTCGAAGCGCATCATAGCCCCGGATCCCAAGGATAGGCTCGCGGGTTGGCGGGTCTTCGACGCCTTCTTCTAGAAGCACGAATGCGGTACATATGAGTCCAGGGGCTTCCAGCTCGGATCGTGGAGCCAGTGTTTTACCATCCTTGACAGCCGATCTATTTCCTGTCCTTACATACTGCAAAGCCATGCTTTTATTTTTATTTCTGCATGTCTGGCTGTCGGGTTATTCTCCGCCAAGGTCCGGACCGCCTGCCGAGTTTTCTTTTTGCTCATCGACCGAATCGCTTACAGTGGAACCTCCCGTGTGGCTACGAGATGCGAAGCAAAGCGATGGTGGCTCTGCGTTGAATGTCTCTCCGAGATCAGGCTGACTGTTTGCGGAACACGGGCCGTTCCCGTTGCCAATATAATTCAGTCTACCCTACCCAGTAGCGTAAGCATTATGGTTATGGCGTCTTATAAGACATCCTCATCTTGATACCTATGTAGGTAGGTAGTATGTAAGAGACGAGTGTACAGGGACACCACATTCGAAGAGACTCTTACGGCTCTAGTCGGGAGACGCGAAACATGTTGTCATCCGAATTCTGTAGTGTTTGGGTTAGGACTTACGATTCATAGGCCAACCCAACCGTGTGGCTACTCTGAATCACGCTTCACACTAACCCCATAAGTGACGATTTCTTCGATATTTCGGGTGCAGTTTTCAACACCACCCCAGTCAGTCAGTTCGAAGAGATGAAGTTCCATT